CTCTTTTCTCACCTACTGCAGCTCTTTGATCACATCGTTGCCTGCATATCGGACTTCCTGGACTACATGGGCATGAAGAACGCTCGGCTGCCTTTGGGCTTCACCTTCTCTTTCCCTTGTAGACAAACCAGCCTGGATGCTGTGAGTTTTTTTAAATATCATATTGGTTCATGACATTTGTTTTGAATGAGACAGACTCAGACTGAGCACTGCTCCTGGATCAGTTTTTCCTTTCCTGAGCATATACTGTGATGTTCAATAGATATAAACCCAGACACTCTTTTTTTCTAATCTGGCAATATCTTAGTGAGCACATTTGTGTTATTCTGAACCGGTTTTGGTGTTGACTTTACCATGCAGGGCATCCTCGTAAACTGGACAAAAGGATTCAAGGCTACTGACTGTGAAGGAGAGGATGTGGTCAACCTCCTGAGGGAGGGAATTAAAAGGAGAGAGGTGAGGGACAGCACTGTCAGACATTATTTACATGTATTCTTGCAGTACTGTGACTAATATTTGGACAATTAAGGTAATTTTTATGTACTTTTAATGGATCAATCGAATTGTTTCCCACACATGGTTGTTTCTGTTACCCCTTTTAGACACTTTAGGGCTAAATTTGATATAAATAAATTACCCTAACATTACAATGTGTGCAGATTCTCTAACATAATGTGTGTTATCATACCTGCAGGAGTTTGATTTAGATGTGGTAGCAGTAGTCAATGACACAGTGGGGACCATGATGACTTGTGCATATGAGGAGCCAACATGTGAGGTCGGCCTTATTGCAGGTAACTTACATTATAACACCCAGAGTTTCACATGCAACACAACAAGATCCATGTATTTAATTCAGCCTGCCAACATTAATATCCTCAGACTTTTCAAGTTCTTGTAAGCGCATAAGACATTGCCTCATATTCTTCACATTCTTCATCTTATTGCAGGAACGGGCAGCAATGCCTGCTATATGGAAGAGATGAAGAACATAGAGACTGTGGATGGTGATGAGGGCAGGATGTGTGTGAACATGGAGTGGGGTGCGTTTGGGGACAATGGCTGTCTGGATGATATGAGGACCCAATATGACACAGCTGTGGATGATCTCTCCCTCAACCCTGGCAAACAGAGGTGCCCCTTTTTAAATAATATACTCAATATACTATATCTTATACAGCATGGAAGAAATAGGTTAGGTTGCGAGACGGCACTGTTTTTTTCCAATACAGAAACAACTGGTACTTATCCAGTACTTTAAAAAGTACTTGGCTTTAAAATTAGCTAGTTTAAATGGAAGCAGTTGATTTCAGATGCTCATTCACACGTTTGAAGTGTTTACACGCAGCCAATATAATCGCAACTCCCACACATGCTGTGCTGAATAGATAGCTACTCATTGTTCTCATGTCAACATTAGGCTACGCGTGGCTACTCTTATTTTTTGAACCACTTTACATTATGTTGCCCTACAAGCAATTCTGTGATATTTCATGTTTGATTTATTGCAGAATTGGACTGGGTACGTTTGTTTTCCTCCAATATCTGATCCAGCATTTTCTGCTGCTCACTACAAATACTGTGTATCGGACCTGTGCGATCTCTAGCTGTGAAGCCTTACTATGGGTTGCAGTAGTTGATTTTTAGAAAAAAATTGCGTGGTAAATGTGCTACACTACACATATTTTGAGAGAGTATTCAAAGTGATCCTCATTCTACCACCTAATCATGACCTTTGTGTTATGAAGCCTTGGGGAAATTTATCCCTGGCCAGGATTATGATTTATGAATATGTAAACTGTAATTTAGTGCATGCCCTATTTCTGTGTTCTGCCCTCATATGTAGGATTGTTTCAGTTTTTTGTTGTAGCGTTAAATAAAACACTAACAGCGTATATTGTGATGCCTTTTGTTTTCAGATATGAGAAGATGTGCAGTGGAATGTACCTGGGTGAGATTGTGCGAAACATCCTCATTGACTTAACAAAGCGTGGCTTCCTCTTCAGAGGCCAGATTTCTGAGACTCTGAAGACTAGGGGCATCTTTGAAACCAAATTCTTGTCCCAAATTGAGAGGTATTTTATGCTAAGTTTCCTATCATTGAAATATGTGAATAAAGGTGCATTATTGCTTATTTATTTATTTATTTATTTATTACATAATGATCTTTTTCAGTTTTTTGTGAAGTATATTCATTTCTATTTTCTAAACTTGTGTTTTGCTCCCCCTAGTGACCGTCTGGCGCTACTGCAAGTGAGGTCCATTCTGCAGCACTTGGGTCTGGACAGCACGTGTGATGACAGTATTATCGTGAAGGAAGTATGTGGTGCTGTGTCACGCCGAGCTGCTCAGATCTGTGGAGCAGGAATGGCTGCCGTTGTTGACAAAATCCGGGAGAACCGAGGACTAGACCATCTGGACATCACTGTAGGGGTGGATGGCACGCTCTACAAACTCCATCCACAGTGAGTGGCCAGTTTAGAATGGATCTGTTTCTATTTGTAACTTTAAAAGTGAAGACTTTGACGTTCACAGACCTGCCAGCATGTCCAGACTTCAGTAATTTACTTATGTAACCTAATAATAACAGATTTTACAGTATAGTTACTGAATAATGAATCTTACCATCAAAGGATTTATTTTTTTTTGTGGTAATTTCTTAAGTATTTTGTATCAGAAATTCAGAACTCTCACTCTCTGTGTCTTCCTTGCTTTAGTTTCTCTCCGATAATGCACCAGACTGTGAAGGAACTAGCCCCCAAGTGCAATGTGAACTTCCTGCTTTCGGAGGATGGGAGTGGGAAAGGTGCTGCCCTGATCACTGCAGTGGGATGCCGTCTGCGTGAGCAAGAACAAAAAAGCTGAAAGCTATTTGAATCCGCTCTTTAGCTCTCTCTCACTCTAACCAAGAGCAGAGAACTCTCCCACTAGAAGCCCTGACGAAGTTCTCCTAGACCTAATGTCCAGCACATCCATCTGCCCACACCCAGTACCAGGGCCTGGGATGCTCTGTACTTTGTAATTCACTCCATTTGAACTAAATATAACTGTCAGCCTTTCACGTGTCTAAATTTAGTGTCCATGTCTAAGTGTACGTGTGTGCGTGTATCACGGATGAGTTATCCCTTATTATTGAGTCTATACTACAATGTTGTAACTCTGCTGTAAACATTTTATGGATGTATATTAGCAAAAGGGAAGAAATTTCAAGGCAAAATGACAAGACCAATTATGTATACATATAAGAATATATTATTTATTTTATTTTTGTATTTGAGGGCTGTACTGAGAGAAAAGTGTAAGAGATCATACCTTGGAGAGAAGCTTTTTTTTATGTTTATGCCATGCTCACTTCAGATGTTGCATACTGATAACAGGGTTATTATATGAATGTTGAGGGACGACCTGGGTTTTGAAACCATGCGCACTTCTCTTTGAGACCAAAGAGAAATGTCATGTGAGTCAACGCTCCAGTAAGGGCTGCCTCGCAGTGTATTGCTTCCATACACCCTGTAATCTCAGCTCCTGAATGCCCCAACAAACAAGAGATGAACAAGAAAGCAGACTTCTTGCCTTTGTTGTCCAACCCTTCTGAAAAACAGCCTGCTCTCGCAGTGCCTGGAAACCTGAGCAGTTGCAGCAGACTGTATCATGCATATTGCTTTTGTCAGAATAGGTGAGAATTGTCAGCATTTCTTGTGTGCTGTGTACATACGCAGATAGTTTATTGGCCCCCACAAATAATGGTGCAAATCTCAAGTAAATGTCCTTATGTGTACTCTGGCTGCGTGTTTGTGTGTGATCCTGTATAGTTACTGTGAGTGAACCTGTGCAGTGGCTCTGAGATGGTATGATGAATGCATGCCTTATTTGGTAACAGAGGTTTAGTATCCACTCATTTTGTACGATTCTCTAGGTGCACCATATTTAGATGTTCTATAACAGAAAGTTATTAAACTATTTTGATGAGCTATGACTAAGTTTATGTCTTCTCTGATTTAGTTTTGCTTAGTAGTCCTGCCAAAATGTAGGATTAGGACAGTAGCACTTTATTTCTATGTAAACAAAACAAATAGTGCAATACAAATATTGTATTCACATTTCACCAAAATCAATAACAGTGGATTAATGCAAACATATTAAATGTGGTCATTATAAATAAATCAAATACAATGCAGTTATTTAAAAAATAATCACTAGCTAAACTTTTTGTATAGGTTTAATTTGACTTGACATGAATACAGACAACATTGAAGTGTTTTTGGGAGAAATACTGAGTTTATTCAGCAATGTTTAATCATGAGATCAACAGTTAGGCCAAAGTAAATTCATCCTAGGCACAGATTCATTCGTGCTTGCTTGGTGTCACCTTCAGAAAAAAAACTAAACATTTTTTTTTTTGAACTGTTAATTTTTAGAGCAGCAGCTGTTTTGTCAAAAATGAAGACTTCAATAAATTCTCTGAAAGTTCTCAAACTCTGTGGAATATAATCAATTATTTAATAACAAGGTTCATTGTAATTCATGTATACAATTCATTTACTTTCACAGAACACAACTGGATGTACATGCACACCAACACTGAACATAACACAGTAAACGTAATAAGCACAGATGTGAAGTCACTCATGTACACATACAGTGCAGTCTTGTTCCAAAATACTCCAAAACTAAGTTTTTAAGTAAAATAAATAAAAAATGGGTGAAAAAAGATGCAGTTTGGTTGATGGTTGATGGGTGAAGACTTTATGAAGTTTTAGCCTGACGCCTATGGACTGGGCAGTGTTGGCTCTGTACTCTACCACAGTGGATTTGAAATGACTATGAATGACTATGAAGTTAATGTGCAGAATGTCAGCTTTAATTTGAGAGGGTTTACATCTGTGGTTCTATATAGAACATTTTCAAAATGGTTCTATATAGCACAAAAAAGGTTCTTCTATAGTTACATCTTGACATTGTAACAATAGCAGAACCTTTTTTGGTTCTGTATACAACACATTCTCCATCAATCTGAAGAACCATTCCACCATGCAAAGAACCCTTTTAACCTGAAATAGTTCTACATAGAACTTACTGTCTTAAACAGAAACAGTTTGGTTAGAGAGAACCATGTTCATGGGCCTCACTGTACAGTTCAGAATTCAGCTTCAATGAAGAAGCCAGACATCATGTTTCACAGCTGAAGCAGTTCACTTTGAATCATGAATTGTTTCTTTTTTTTCTTCCATACTGTCCTCATTTCATCACTCTGACACAGGTTAGTCCCCATCTGTCCATCTAACTTTGTCTCAAGCAAACAGTAACCAGGCCTTTCTGTTCTAAAGGCATAGATGGTGTGCATGTTGTGATAAACCCCTTGTGTCCTGCTGGTGTGTTCTTCGCTCTGTGGTGTTCTTTGACACATCTATGAGAGGCACTCTCGATCTGCTCGACAGCTGAAATGAGGTTTCCTCATGATTCTTCAGCCATCCATTACTGTGGTCTACTTTTTTTTGCTATTGCTGAGTAAACCAATATGTTCTAGCTTCATAATCATATAGTGACACATTTAATATTTTGTCTGCTTGATTTATTCTGCTTATTTCAGCTTCAGGATGGCTTGTTTTACTACCACTAACATCTCTTTGTGTCTCAACTGAGAGGCAGTGGTAACTGACTCCAGCTAAAACTGTCCTATGTAAAACCAGACCTTTTGTTAGCTCTCTTCTGCATGAACTAATGAAAGCACACACAGCTGGCCAAGAAACAATCCAGGTAATTTTATCCTAAAATGGGCTAAGGATAAAAAGGCCTTTAATTCCTACATGGTTCAGCCGATATCCATGCACATAACGTATGATCAAATTAAAGCTGGGATTCTGCACAGTCGTTGATTAATGTCAAATTCAAGGTGTTTAAGTCCAACACTAGAACAACACAAATGTTCAAATACTGTTCAGCTACTCGCAGACAGCACTGTATGTACAATTGCAGTGAGTTTTGGCCTTCATGAGCAGTTCCTTCAGGTGTTATATACTATATAAGAAGAGCATTTTTTATCTCCATCTAACAATCCCTTCTTCTCCTTCTTTCCCTTACACTGTCAACCTAACACCACAGTAAATGTATGTATACTAAGTGGCCTTGTCTTGCTTTATAGCAATACTTGACCTGAGGCACAGATGCCTGGCTAAAAAAAACTGTTAAGAGGTGTTTGATCTACTGGATCTGCACGTCTCACCCCTTCAGCAGTTGCTTTTTATAATGAGAGCTGCCACTTCACATTGAGGCAGTATTTACAGCTTGAACAATTCACCTATTCACACATAATGATCGACGAAACCAGGTGGCACACTTAAAATAACCAACCACAACGAAGAACAGTGACAATTAAGACTTGGTGCTTATGCCATGGGAGTACCCTTCTACTCCAGCTGAACAACAGCCCTGTGAAACTCAACAGGAGCAGCGTTCAAACTCCTTAGTGAGGTATTTGGTGGTGATGTGACTGTGCCAGGCTGTAGGAGGTCCCTCTCTCACTCTGAACTCTCTGGAACCTTCATTCAAGTGAACCTAGGATTTGATCAGCTTGGGCGCAGCATCTTCCAGAGCATTAGCATGGTTCCGGGACATCATGCTAGTGGTCTCCGTGCGATAGCTGCGGGTGGTCCGGAAGGTTCTCATGCGCTGCAGCTCCATGTTGTCCTCCTCAGAGACCTTGACGAGTGGACACCAACGGAACGCTCGCCGGAATCCTGACCGGAATCTGAGGAGATGCAGCAGATATCGACTAAACAAAGTATTCTACACCAGTGCTGGAAGCTTTAGGTTCAGAAAGTCAAAAATCTGCTATAGGACTTTGTTCCAGCTGCCTACATTTGCTAATTTGACACCCACATGTTTAATAGAATTAAATCTCTTTAAGGAACAGTAGCTCCCCATAACAGATTAAGACTAAGCAGGGATTAAAATGGATAATGAGCATGACCTGTGTGATCTAGTGCAGGGGTGTGTTTCTCAAAAGCATGTAAACTCTGTCTTGATATTATTTGTTTCCCCAAACCTTTAGTACCTAATGTAGAATATTAGCTATATCATTATTTGAAGACCGCACATCATGGACTTTCTCTCACTTTTATGAAGTAAGCCATTTATGGACAGCAAGCTGCAGAAACAGCCTGTTTTGGATTTAGTTTTTGTGACGTCATGAAAACCAATGTATTTAAATATATCCATCGATTTTGCCTACAGCCGCTCAGGTCCACCCATTTACGCTGATGTTATACATTACAATACAGGGCACCCAATCAGAACAGAGATCATGTGATACATAAGTCAGTCTTAAAGGTACAGTAACAAAATCAGCTTGTTTAATTCAAGAGAGGAAAATGGTCAAGTATAAATGAATTATGATTGTTTGTGGTAGATAAACTGCACAAGAGTTATAAATGGACCTTAGGGAAAAAATAAAATAACATACAAGAAAAATGTAGGATATGGGCCTGTTAACAAGTCAGCCCGCCGGATGCTCATGCATAAACTTGCTCCAACTTGCTCTATTCCTGATGGACAGATGCTGTAACCATGTCATCAGTGAATGGCCTTGAAATGTTTAACAATTTTTTATTTTTTTTTATTCTCAATAGATTTTTTTGTATGTTTATTATTTTTACAATATGTTGTTTAGCATAATATTTCGTACAATTACAAAGCACTATTTGAAAGCATTTCATTCAGAGTTTGCCTTCTTAAAAATTATACACAGTGATATAAATCAGATGCAAGGTAATTCATCTTATTCTGGTACGACACAAATGTTACTACCTATACCTATAATTCCTGATTTAGATCTACAATTCATTTATTAACCCAGGACTGTCCAAAAAAACAAAACAATGATCTCCAAAAATGAAGATACTTCACTTTTAATGTATGTTAACGTAAACAGATTTTATTCCAAGTAATTCTGGAGCATTTCTACTGATCCACTCATTGTGACATAAAAAAACAACAAAAATGGAGATACTTTGGAGATACTTTTTTTTTGGACAGTGATGATATGGAGATATTATAATGTAGGTTTGCTTATCATTGTTGAGCCTTTGCTTTCCTGTTTTGGACATGAAGTGTGATGTCTTTAAGTAACTTTATATGTAAAATGGACAAAAATCAATGAAAGTGCATTTCAATGAATGAATGAGTGTTTATGTCGAGCAAAAGAGAATTCCATTCCAAAGAAACTGAAATGTCTTTGTCTCTATATATATTATACTTTGTATACTGACTTTATTTGAAAGGAAATGTGTGTGCATTATCAAATTAACTTCACAAAACAAGCTATTTTTGAGCACAGAGGTTAAACCCAGTCCTGGACCACATTTTCTTTTCAATGGAAAATCTCCATTCAGAATGCTGTGTACTTCAGAATTAGGCTTAATCCCTTTCTTGGAAATGGACCCTAAATTATATATATCCATACATATCCTTACAATTTTTACCAGAGATGGACCACAAGTGTTATAGACAGCTTCAACTGTTTGACTACTAATGGACTATGTTTTTTGTGGGACTATGGAGATAACAAAGAGCTGTAAACTCACTCACAAGTTCAACAATTACAAAGGCTTTTGGGAAACATTGCAAAAGCAGCTCCATCATAAGGTGGCTCATTAATCTCTATCATGAACTGATATCAGAAACACTGCCTTAATCTGTAAGCAGACACTGGAAGTCTAGCAAACTAATGAGAACTAACACTGAGATTATCCTTTCATTCAAATCTGTAAAAACATGGAATGAGACTCACGCCACTGCCTTCTTTCAGCTCCAGTAGAAACAGTAAATCTTTACCTTTGGTTCAGACAGCAGTATATGATGGGGTTGTACATGGTGGAACTCATAGCCAACCAGAAGATGGCCAAGTAGACCTGCTGGATATAATGCTGGTTGTAAATGTCCCTCTTGAAGCTGCCCAGTATGAAGTAGATATGATAGGGTAGCCAGCATATAGCAAAGGTCATCACCACAACTATCATCATTTTCACCACCTTTAATGAAGAGTAAAGGAGTATGAGTCTTTCTCCACATTTCACACACATAGTCAACACAGGAATCAGGAAATGGTCATAGATAACAATGGAGGTCCTGGAGACTAGGAGCAATAAACAAAGATGAAAACTACTTTGGCTTTATTTAAAATATTCTTCAGGGGTGCCAATAATTTTGACCCATACATTTGTGAAAGAATATACTATTCTTCAAATAAAACAACACTCCTGAAGGAAAGAGTAGATTATCTTATATCTAATCTAATCAGAAACACCTCCCTTAGCCATTTTAGATGCTCATAAGAAAGAAATTCACAGGGCAGCTAATGTGCTCAAACTCAGCACTTTACAGGGGAACAATATGAGTCCTTCAGCAGCAGTTTTTGTTGGGAGGCCAAAGCTGTAGCTCAGTGGTTAATGTAAGAGATAAAGTGGCTGGAGAGTTTTTTCTAAAATGAAAAGTGGACAGATTAAACACTGATCAATTTTGTATTTTACTTAGTGTTGGAGGCTTTCAGGTGATTCTCTGTTAAGTATATGATGCTTGCTTTTTTCTGTTGCTGAACAATGAAGAACTTGTCCTTGTTGGTCGCTTTGACTGGAATTTACATCCCCAAATCAGAAACAGTTGGGATGCTATGGAAAATTCAAATAAGCAGTGATTTCTAAAATTTACTTTGACTCGTATTTCATTGCAGACTGTATGAACACAAGTTATTTCATGCTTTGTATGGTCAACTTAATTTAATTTGCAAATATTCATCCATTCCGGCTATTCAGGCCTTCAACACATTGCAAAAAAAGTTGGGACGGGGCAATTTTGGGCTATTAATGAGGTAAAAGAATTAAATAATGATGTAATTTGAAACTGTGATCGTGATTTGGTACAAAAGCGGCATACAGGAAAGGCCTAGTCCTTTAGAAGCAAAAATGGGCAGAGGACCACCAGTATGCCAACAAGTGCATGAGAAAATTATTGAAAAATGTTCTTCAAATATAGATAAGAGGCAATTTGGATATTTCACCCTCTACAGTGCATAACATAATTAACAGATTCAAGGAATCTGGAGGGATTACAGTGCGTAAAGGGCAGAGACGCAAGCCTAAGCTGAATAACTGTGCTCTCTGACCGTCACTCATCTACAAGCAATATCACCACATGGGCTCAGGGTTACTATAGCAAACCTTTATCATGCACTGCAATATGTAGTTACATCCACAAATGCCAGTTAAAACTATACTGTGCCAAAAGGAAGCCTAACGTTAGCTGTGTCCAGAAGTGCCGTTAACTTCTCTGGGCTCTGAGGCATCTGGGATGGACCCTCACACAGTGGAAATGTGTACAGCGGTCAAACAAATCAGGTTTTTTTTGGAAGAAATGGATGTTGTTTACTCTAGACCAAAACTGAAAAGGACCATCCAGACTGTTACCAGCAACAAGTCCAAAAGCCAGGGCCTGTCATGGTGTGGGGTCGTCAGTGCCCCTGTCAAAGGTAACTTACACTTCTGTCATGGCACCATTAATGCCAAAAAGTACATAGAGATTTTGGAGTAACATGTGATGCTTTCAATGTGACATCTTTTTCAGGGACGCCCATGCAAATTTCATCAAGACAATGAAAAACCACATTCTGCACACATTACAAAGGCATGGCTGTGGAAGAGTAGGGTGCAGGTGCTGGACTGACCTGCCTGCTGTCCCGAATAGAGAACGTGTCTGCATTTTAAAACATATAATGCGAGAAAGAAGACGCTATACTATTGCACACCTTAAATCTTGTTTGCAGGAAGAATGGGACAAAACTACACCGAAACGCTTCATCACTTGGTGTCTTCAGTCCTAGATGTCTTATAAGTGTGGTAAAAAGAAATGGCAACATTACAAAGAGGTAAATGCTTTACTGTTCCTGCTTTTTTTGAAGTATGTTACAAGAAAATTGAAATAAGTGTTTATGTTGAAAAAACAACAAAATTTATATGGTAAAACATGAAATAATCTGCGGTTTTGTTGTTTTTGGTGTAACAAAAGTGAAAAATAAATTACAAATCACTGTTTTCAGGTTTAATTTTTATTTAACATACCGTCCCAACTTTTTCTTTGGGGTTGGAAACAAACAAAAAGGAAGTCTCTGACTTTTGCTCTATACTTTATGAAAATATGATTGTGACTGTTCAAGTGTTCTTTAAGCAGACAAGAAAATTTAATTCATATATATGAGCATTAACTTGAGGTAGCTTGGGTACATTTGTGCTTCTGTATATATATAAACGCCCGTATGCATTAAGCACCCAGACTTGTGCATGTAATGAAAACTCAATGAAGTGTTAAGCACTCGTCAACATGACCCAAACTACACAGAATCATGAGCGAGGATGTTCAAGCTGACCTTGCGCTTTGCCTGTATCTGGTTCTGATAGTGGTCTGAAGCTTCACCAGGGATTTTGCTGCCCCACAGACGCTGGCCCACCAGACTGTAGGTCACCAGCATCACCAGCAGGGGGAGCAAGTAGATCAGGATAATGACAGCAATCTGGTACCTGGAGAGTTTAAATATTGTTTCATTGTAATATGTGTTTAGATCATGCGCTATATCATTAGCATGACATTAATAATAAAACAGTCACTGACAAAAGAGCAATATGTACATATTGAACAGCAGGCACTGTCCAATTCATGCTCACTTTAGGACAGCAGGCTGGTTTCCTAGACATGGAGTAAGTCTAGTCTCAGACTTTCCAATAGTAATTCACACTGCCATTTAGACTAGGCTCGATCAATGTCTGGGAACCTGGCCCATAGAATCATTAATTACTCAGTCAGTAAGAGAGAATACCGTCCTACATCTTTATGCCATTAACATTAAGAACCATTAACAGCTAGGGTTCTGGACAAATGTTAAACTAAGTCCTGTATTAAAATGAATTTTGATGGAGAATTCCCGGTGACAGTGTAATGTAGTCCAAGGCTGAGCTTAATCGTTGGCAAATCTGTCTTTAAAGTCTGAGGTACATTTATAACAAACATTGTATTTAAGGTGATGCATCTTTAATTAGACTTCTGTTTAAGGACCACCATAGAAGATTAAATCAATAATCGAGTATTTTACTCCTAAGGCTAATAATATGTAATAAAAACAATACAGTAAGGCTTTTTGGTATTTCTTACGAGAGCTGGTGCTTCCCTCCGTAGTCATCAGGCCATTCCACCATGCAGACAGTGCGATGAGAGTAGAATTTAGTGCTGGAGTAGAAACACTGAGGGAAGGCCAGGGAGAAAGCCACAGCCCAGATGACGGCAATCACTACTTTGGTGGTGGTGGAGGAGAGTCTTGACTTTAGAGGGTGGATAATGGCCATGTATCTGTAGAGGTAAATGAATGACGTCACTGTCATATACATCTATTTTTTTACACCATTTGAAAACCAGTTGCCTTACATTGTTTGGCCCCCTGCGTGGGCAAGCACCCTACACTATACTAATAAGAGTCCTTGGGTAAGACTTCACCTACCTGTGTAAAATGATAAAATTGTAAGTCTCTGGATAAGAGCATCTGCCAAAATGCAATAAATGTATAATGTTCGAATACTTTATGCCGGACAAATAGTATAGTAGTAATGGGTCAAAATATTGCTCAATCTATGTACAATGAAGTTAAGAATGCTTTTTCTCTTTCCCCTATGCTATTGTCATACATTAAAATGCCACACACACATTTCAAACTCAGTTCAAATGCAATGATTTTGCATGATGCAACTCCAAATCATGAAACACTTGACAACAATTCAGTAGGACTTATGCCAGTGTTCTCTGTTCTGATGAAGAAGTGAGACTAATAAATACAGCTGTGACATCAGTCCAGACAAACCACAGTTTTACCTGTTTACAGTGATCAACATTAACACTAACAGTCATTTCCATTTGTGGAGAGGGAAAGTGTTGCCCTATGTTAATGACAGAGGTGACACTGTCTATTACTAACACAAAAACATAAGATTATAATAATATAGACTACACTGCATCCCCAATTCAACGCTGCTTATGCATATTTCTCATTATGTAAATAAATAACAGAAGTGGACTTTCTTGTTGGGAAGTCACGCTGAGTAACAGCAGCAGGGTAATGTTGTGTGATGTTCGGGCACAGAATCATTTTCTTCATCATCATTTTCTCGGTGTACTTACCTCATTTTCATGAGTAATGAAGCACGAAACAGAAAGAGAAAACACAAATACCCACACACCCGTGTTTGTATTCCTCTCTTTGTAGGGGTATTTTTATTGCCTTCTGTAGCTAAATGCAGCTGTGCTACAACTGACCCAACCCTACTGAGGTGTCATAAAATATCCCACATATTAGGGATGCACGATGATGTCAGAATCATATCAGTATCGGCAGATCATTTTTTAAGAAAATGATCATCAGTGTACAGATGTATAGATTTGGCTTATGTTTAAAACCAATATTTTATGACATATGTATGACAGCAATGTCAGCAATGCCCAGTAAAGGCAACAGTCATAATAACGATTATAGAATTGTCACTCTTAAAGTGCAAAATTTCTTAGCTTCAAATTGCAGTAATGCCCTGATGGGGAATTATAGTGATAATAGCAGCAGCTGTTGATGTGTGACCTGTGAGATGCAGACCTGTTCAGTCTCACTGCCTCTAGGAAGAAGCTGTTCGTCAGCCTGGTAGTTCTGGCCTTAACGCTGTGTAGCCTCCTACCTGAATGGAGGGGGGCAAACGGTCTGTTAGTAGGGTAAGTAGAGTCCCTCCCAGTGCAGGAGGCCTTTTCCCTGCACCTGCTGTTGTAAATGTCACTGATGGTGGGCAGGCTGCTGCCAATGATCCTCTGCGCAGTCTTTACCACCTGCTGCAGTGCCAGTCTGTCGGCAGCAGAGCGGTTGCCGTATCACACAGTGATGCAGGAAGTGAAGATGCTCTCCACCACAGACCTGTAGCAGGAAATGAGGGCTGAGATGCCAAGGCCAGCGAACTTCAGCCGCCTCAAAAAGCAGAGGCGTTGATGGGTCTTCTTTACTATGCTGGCTGTGTTGTAGGTCCAGGCGAGGTTGGCAGATAAGTGTAACCCCCAGGTATTTGAAGCAGCCCTGATCTGGAGGGGAGGGGGAGTGGTGCCGGTCCCCCTAAAGCCCACAATTGTCTGCTTTGTTTTCTTTACATTGATGGAGAGGCTTCCAGTATTTCCACTTCCTGCGTGTACTCATGGCTGTGAGCGTTGAGTCCCACCACTGCCGTGTCGTCTGCAAACTTCAAATGTGATTGCTTGGATGGTTGACTGAGCAGTCATACGTCAGCAGTATATATAGTAGGGGGGTCAGGATGCATCCCTGAGGGGAGCTGGTATTAAGGATGATGGGGGAGGATGAGATGTTATGGATTCTGATGGTCTGGGGCCTGTTTCTTGAAAATTTAAAAAGTATCCAGCTGCACAGAGATTAACTGAGTCCAAATAGTGCCAGGGTGTCAGTCAGGGTTTGTGGGATGATGCTGGGTTACTGTTTTAAAATATTTATTAATTTTAATGCATTTATGACCCTACAGAAATAAATGTTACTTTTCTTTGTAATGCTATTTGAGGTCACTAGTTACAATTACCACACTTTCTGAAAGTTTATGCCTCAGTATTAGTATTAACATCAGCAGATACAGTACTGTGCAAAAGTTTTAGACAGCTGAGAAAATTATATTTAAACATATATTTATTTAGGCAGTAAGTGTTTATTTGTTCAGAAAACATTCATTCAATAGCAGTGATTTTATGTATGTCAATGTGCTTGTTTAACCATTGCCAAACCTCTCCTCCAGTAAGCTCAGTATTATTAGTAGTTAGCATCCAGAGCTGGTTTGGCTGATCAATGTTGATTGATTAAATTAAGTGTGCTGCTGATGGAATTAACCAAATCCATCTACTACTACTTTTTCAAAGAAAATAAATTGTTGTTACTTGTTCCTGTCTTTATTTTCATTTATTCTAGCATCATACACTGTTTTTACAAGCATAAAATAAAGCCATCGGTTTAGATTTAGATTTATTTTTTTCTATTTTTCATTGTACCTCAAATAAAGGTTAGAGTTTCGTTAAAATTTGGAATGAAAGCTCAAAGCGATAAGCAGTAAAGAAAGTTTTTTACAGCCTGTTTCACTCATGTTTTAACAGGGGTGCCAATATTTTTGCAGGGCACTGTGTTGTCCAAACGAACAGTTGTTATGATTAATACCACATTTATGAGAGAAATAAAAAAGGGAATTCCAGTAAAGTCAGATATTACTCTTTAAGAAAAAAAACATTTATATCCAAAATTGTTACAAATGGACATAACAGCATTTTGGAATGAAACTCAATCTTCAGTTTTGAACAATGTACTTAGGTGCCCATAACTTATGCACAGTACTGTATGTATGAACATTTCAGCTGAATTAATACACAATTCCCATATCCCCACATTCAATTCTGATATCAGCCATCTGCACCCCATAACAGTAAAACGTTCCTGTTTTGCTGTCCTACATTCTGGTAAACACTGGATTTACACACACACACACACACACACACACACACACACACACACACACACACACACACAGCAGAATACTACATTTAGGTGCCCGGTTTAAAATACACGATGACTTGTCCAGTTACTCATAAACAAGTGAGTGTCAGAAATGACTATGTAACAGTACAGACACTTAATGATAAATAAACAGTATCTTTAAGCAGGGACCTCCTATTATTGAAGACTTCATTTTTGTAAAACCAAGAATTTGAAGATCCCTAATGACCAGTCTATGTGCACAAACAACACACACACACACACACACACACACACACACACACACACACACACACACACACACACACACACTTTTTTCTCTCTAAAAAGGAGCAGAGAGCGGAAATCACTCTGAAATAACTCCAATTACTCCAATCCTAGTTTTAAACATAAAAATACACTAAACAAAATAAAGCCTGTTGAAGAGCAGCAGCGCGCCCCCTGCCGGCGCCTCAGCACCAGCACACCGCACAGACACCATCACCGTCTGCGCAGATCAGCCGCCGATACAGAGTCTGCGCTCGGTCTGATCAACAGCCTTACAGCTTCAGCGGATCAGTCAGACTAAAAAAGTGGAACACCAGTCTTCACATGAACGCGCACTCATTCATCAAACTGCACACCGACTCCACTTTCATCCAGAACACGCAGCGCAGATCCACCTTCACCATCTCAGCTGAAGTGACTGCCTTTACAGTTCTGTTAGTGCTGAACTGAGTCTTAGACACGTTTCAGCACATCAGGAGGTGAGACAAGGGGTTATGTGCTGATAGGGGACACATGTGCCAAACCACCGCATACAGAAATCTGTCAGCCCTATATTTTAAATTACATATATTTTGTAAGTATCAAATATGGTCACATATGCAGAATATATGGATCATACATATATGTCTGATAGGTATGTGAATACACACACGTGTAATATATAGATCATACATATAGGTCTGATACATGGTTGACTCCATCCATGTACAGCTATAACTGTTGCTATGTTATCTGTTTACTTTTGAATATTATTCAAATGTGTCAGGAAAAATATTTTCATTTATTTCATGTTTTTAACGCTTTTATTATATGCACATTTTAGAGTTTAGTTATGTAGCTATTACACTAATGTTCACTTCATTGGGACGTTTGTGGAAGAAGGAAAGAGATGCAAAAAACCTTGAATAACATGATACTGGCATGTATGAGTAATATATGCCTTCCATATATGAAGAGTGTTTCCTATCATATATTGGGAAATACATGTGTTTCACACATATGTTTGTATATGTTGATACATGCCTGAAATACATGCCACATATTTGAAAATGGCATAGCATATATTGCCATGTATTAGATTTTCATATGCGATGAATGGCAAACCTATTATTTTGCCCAAATTTCCACTAATGATAACTTTTATAATGTAATGAGCATATATGGCATTTCCTATAGTCATTCACTTACGTATTAGCTAAAAATGAAATAAATGAGTTTATCACCTGATGTGACATATACGAGAAGCTCTATGTCGAAGCCAAATCACTCCGTTCAAGACCATTACATTTCACTGCATAGATAAGAGCCACTCTTTAACTCAGCTCCCCAATAAAAACTCAATTGTAATTCCTGTTACCTTATGTGCAATAACCAAACAGCTGACTTCTGTAGCCCATTCACAGCAATTGTTTTGGCTTATACAGAAAGAATACACTAGTAGCCTGAGCATGAGCTGAAATTGGACATAAAGAGTGGATATTATAGTTAGTTTATACAGTTTGATCATCTAGTGTGCTGGAGGACATGAAAAGCTGTATGCTAAAGCCAAAGGAATCCCTACAGAAGTACATGCTGGATGTGGCGTGGAGCACAGCCATTTACACAGTCTCTCACTGAAAATGACCATGTCTTTGTCATTTAGTGAGCTTATTTGTTTCCTATTGCTCGTTTAGAAAGTACACACCTGTAGGATTCGCAATAAACGATATGCTCTAACAACCTGATGCACCATTTTACCTGAACAGCTGAAAGCTGCAGACAAACCAATCTGTACATGTTGGTTTCATGAGGCTCTCCACGCTTGAGAGAGAAATCGGTCTCCCTGCTCATCTCCTCACCTGTCTACGGCGATCGCTGCCATGGAGTAGATGCTGGAGAACACAGCCGTGATGGGGAAGAAGTTCTGAAACTTGCAGTATCCCAATCCGAAGTACCAGTCGTTGTGGAGGGCGTAGACGAAGTTGAAGACCGTGTTGAAAGTGGCCATGGAGGCGTCGGAGAAGGCGAGGTTGACGATGAAGTAGTTGGTGACCGTCCTCATGCGCTTGTGCGCCACGATGATCCAGATGACCGTCAGGTTGCCCACGACGGACACCAGCACGATTAGGCTGTAGGCGACGGCCCACAGCGCCACTTGCCAGTCGGGCTGCTCGAACATGTTGCTGGAGGTGTCGTTGCCTTCGTCCTCGTCGTACAGGGCGGCCGTGGAGGACCACAGGGGCTCCGGAGTCGCCTCCATGTCGGCTGGAGAATCCCAGCAGTGCTGCGGGGTTTGAGCGGGCTGAGCTTTGAGCTCATCTCTCACCAAAGCCAGCTGAGACTGGCGACATGGTCGAGCCGCGTGCCGAACACGTCGCTGTCTTTCTTTCTTTCTCTCCCACAAAACTACAGTATTTCAGACTGAAGAGTTTAAGTCTGGTCGTCCACGGCTGGTGGCAGCTGTCAGCTGCTGGTGCAGTGCTGCTCAACGTGTGGAGGAACTGCAGGAATGTGTGCCAGTCCTTAAGTGTAGGTGTGTGTGTGTGTGTGTGTGTGTGTGTCTCAGGTGGGAGGTGGGTAAGACCTTCATTCACACAGCTCCATGTACTGAACTACAATCAGGAGGGATTTATATTCATGTCATAATAGTTTTACTTGTAGCTACTGAGTTGGAATCTAATTCTTTCTCAACTTTAACTTAATTCTTGACATTAAGCTCTTGTTTTTTGGGGGGAGGTTAATTTAATTCTGTTCTGTTGTTTCACCTTCTGGACTGCTTTGCTTTCGTTTTGGAGCTTTATCATTTTCTTTTATTCCAAAAGGATCCCAAAAACAAAAGATTAGGCTTTCAGATCATCTGCTGATAGATGCTTGATGCACTCTGCCACTGCAGTTCTGTACTCTGAGCTCAGTACTTGAGGGGTGTTTTGGACATGATATCTTTTACTTAAGCTGGTCTTTGGTAGCTACTTTTACTTCTGCTTGAGTCATTAGTCCTTAGAGATTAGTTGGTTCTTGAGATATCCCTCTGTGAGTGTGTGTGTGTGTGTATGTGTGTGTTGGTATAGTAGTCCTCTGTCAAGGTCAAGGAGCCCTCCAGCACACCCATCATATAATTTTGCCTGTAAAAGTTTAAATAGTTGAATAATGAATTTTGATCAATACAAAGTTAAACGAATGTTAAGGTAAAGACAACAAAACAATGAATGCCTACAGGAGAAATATGGTATAGTAAATTGTTTCTGGAAATAGAATAACTAAATAATATATAAAGTAAAGAAAGAAATGAAGTGTTTTGTTTTAAAACATATTATAGACCACTTTCAAAAATGTTGTTTTTCCTGACATACGTGGTTGGCAGTGGCTTCATACATACAAGACATATCATGGTATAGATATATATGCTATATTAAGATTAATATCACCTTTATTAGAGAAATAATACTATATCTTTTATCCTTTTCAAAAACTTGCCACATAGCACCAAAACTGGTAGAAGTGGACATACAGCGTTTAAGAGTAAAGCTCTTCAAATACTACTTGTTCGAGAAGCCCCCAGCTGGCTTGGGGTCCCCAGTAAGCCACTGCTATGTCTTTTAGCCATGTAGAACTTTGGATGAATGTCTTAGTTTGGTAGCAATGTATTCTTCTCTATTTGGGATTCTTTTGGTCTAAAATAAGATGTTAAAGCCTGTGAAAGAGAGTTGTGAGCAATATCAAAGCAGTCCACATGCTGAACTAAGAGAAGACGATGAAATAAAAACCGTATTGTGGTGTTTTGGCAGAGAAGAACCAGAGGAGGCCATTATTTCTTCTTCAGGAATGCTCTTTTTATTGAACAAGGCAGAAAAGGGCACTAAAAAACAGCTCTAATGGTGGGGAAGGTCACCTCCACCCACAGGACTAATCTTTACGGTAGACATTCCACCCACAGACTGACAAAATAACACACAAACAACACACAAAGACGTCTCAACAAACAACAACAGCAATAGCACAGCAACTAATGTGTCGTTTGGGGTGGGTTTTTTTTTGGGGGTGGGTGGGTGCCCAGCAAACATTGACACAATGTTATCTACTTTCTTACAGCGTTGCTGCAACGTTATCAAAAGGTGGTGCTGTTTATGTTGTCTGAACAAGATTGTCACAACGTTGTTACAAACTCATTGTTCAGTAACGTTGCCATACAGTGTTATGTGTTATTACTACCTGTTAGCAACATAATGGAACTTAAGAGGATTCTAGAAGGTTGTCAAAACGTTGTCGAAAACGTTGCCAGATAACGTCACAACTTTGTAAGGAATTGCATTTCAACGTTGTTGGCACCAAAACAATAGGCTGTCACAACGTAACTGTGTGTGCTGGTTGTGGGCGGAGCGCACGGCGCAGTTTTGCATACCACGCCCCCAAAGTTCCGTCTGTAAAGCTGAGCAAGTGGCATCCGCCTCAGTATTTAAGGAGGCAGACTCCTCTCAGATTAAATTATACAGGAAAGTACTGTCCAACTAAATGGAACACAGGAAAGACTGTTAGACCGCTTACCGCCCACCTGTGTGCGTGCGCGCGCACACTACTAGGCGCGATTTCGTGCAGAGATCTCTTCAACACCTTTTCGCCATTTCCGTGCCTATTTAGCGAAAAGCGATTGCGTTTGATTGCTGCACATTTCAGAAACAGTCTCTGCTGACACAAAAACTGCCAAATTAATGAAAACAGAAATACTCTTTGTATTTAGCCATGTGCAGCCTGTGCGCGTGGAAAGGGCGACAACACTATTGAGCGGCGCTCCACTGAGAAACGCCACTTTCGGAGATCTTGCCTGGTGCTTCGATTTTCCAGCCTGACCCTCTTCGATCATCCAGTCTCTTCCCACTGTGTTCCAAGCTGCGTTGGATATTTAAAAGCAGTTCATTAGAAGGTTGACTAAGACATTTCTGCAACTGAGAGAACGAAACTTAAAACTTGCTTAAGGAGACCTCCACCAAATTTTCAAAATCGCAATGTGCCCCCTGAGTTTTATATGTTTATTACTATGATGGTAACATAGTAATAAACTTGAAAATATGTGTTTTCTTTGGGGACTATTTTGTCTTACAATGCTCTGCATGTACCCCTCCGCTATGAATGGATTACAATAAATGGCTTAACAAGACATTTTAGGCCAAAATATCACTGCAAAACTATCCTAAAACATGTGTTAGGCATCAAGTTGATACTTATCTTCCTGAAGATAACTTATTCATAACCACTTCATGTACTAACTTTCTGTGAGGGAGCTTTTAGAGGCAGTAAACTCTTCAGATGTCTGGTTCCTATCACTACCACTGTGAACAATTCTAACTCAGTAAGTTTCTCTAGAATGAAGCATTTCACATCAAATATCTCTGAATGACTTTGTTTACATCTCAACCATTTAATTATGTCCAAAATTGGTGGCATTCCCCTTTAATGCGTATATAGTAGCCTCACATAGAAGAAATACAACACAAAGAAAATAAATTGCACTCACTCGTAGGCCTAGAATATGCCTCTGAAACCCTTACTCAAAAGGCTGCAAATAAATACTTTTCATCGGGGCCAAATTAAGATCTATTGCTCTGTGCAGAGCAGTTATGGTGCTCCGTCACCCACAAACCTACTGATGATAATATAGGATAAGACATGAGACCAAACACATCGCTGAGATAGTGAGCCAAGACCTTAATGTACCAAGAAACAAAATAGGTGTTCAAAAATATTCAATGTGTAACAAGTAGCCTAGTCGTCTCAGCACATTTTGTAAACCAGCTGGAGGACACAGGCCTTTATGGAATTTAACTCAACAAAACAAGATAACATATGACCAAACTGTCCAGCAAAAACAGGGTAAGGATCTCAATCAAAGCATAGCCTATTCTTTGCAGTGCTTTGTGACATTGCAGGGAAGTTGTCCAGATAACCCATATGGTAGATCCGGCCATGCTCTTTAAATAAACTCATGAGTCATGAACAGGATTTCCACACAACTGAAATGAAATTTTGGACATTAAAATATATTTTTAGAGCTACACAATCAACCTGTGTTGTGAAAACCCAGTAAAACCTTAAAGTAATGTAGTACATATATGCACACAATGCATCAATTCATTTAGTGTTCTATGCTTATGTTTATTTACTGAAAGTCAATTAAAACAATACAACTTAAAAGACACATTAACCTGGATAGCTCAAAGGGGAATTCCACAAATCTTTCAAAAATTCTACATAATTTAATCATTAAGATGCAAACAAAGTCGCTCAGAGTGGTTGGCGTGAAATGCTCCATTCTGGAGAAACTTAGATTCAGAATTGTTCACAGTGATGGTGATAGGAACCAGAGGTCTGAAACATTTAATACCTTTAAAAGTCCTCTCAAAGAAAGTTTTAGACAAAATGGCTAAGAATACACTGCCTGATGCCTGAGACTTTGTTTTACAACATTTTTGAGAAGGTTTTGGCCTGAAATGTATCTTTTAAAAGACTTTCATGGCAGAGGAGCTCACTAGTGGTTGGATAGTAAATAATATTGCTGTGTTTGCGTTGTAGACTTTGCGACACCTGGTTCCTATCAGCACCACTGCAAAAAATCTGAGGTGGTATGTTTCTCTATAGTGAATCATTTCACATCAAAACACTCCAAATGACGTTGTTTACATCTCAACCACTGAAATATGCAGATATTTTGAAAAATAGGTGGAGTTCCCCTTTTAAGTCCAAAGTTCAGGATTGTCCAATTGGAATGTTCCTTGACTCTTCTACTAAACAAGCCTGAAACCTCGCTCACACAACAGCAGAAATGAGGTGGACGAGTTAACTTAGAAACAGAAATGAAATTAACACAAGGAACATAAACCAGTGGGGAAAATTACCCAGACAGGAAGTAGCACAATGCAGAAAAACACACTCAGCATGCAAACTGAAGGTGCTTGGAGATTCAGCTAAAATCCTCATGTAACAGACCTCATTCAGCTGAACCAGGTCTTATGAAGGTATTGAGATGTACGGTTGGGGCTCAAACCGACCTTCAGAATGAGTTTTTCTCACCACTGCTGTGATCCTAAAAGGAACCGAGTAATTTAACGCAGATTGAATAATTGAGTTACACTTTCTGAAAGAGTTAAGCTCATTTGAGCAACCGCCCATCAATCATCCGTGTTCCAGCCAATCACAGGCCAGCGAGAGCACAGGCGCCTCCACTGAGTCTCAGGTGCACGATACGAATCAGGAAGCCCGCTGGGAGATTATGCCAAAACCGAATTAAGAGGCTTCAAATATGGCAGAAGATGTTCGGTATTGCGCGAGGTGCTCCTACGTCTTCCTCAAGATCACTTTAGTTGTGTATTCCACGGTTTTCTGGGTGAGTTTCACTCTGTATTTCAGCACAGCTCCTTCTTTGGGGCTGGGGCTACTTCAGCACGTCAGCATGGGTAGCTTCAGGTGGTTCAGACTCGAGCTGGGCTGACAGACTCCTAGATATGGAGTTTGTTTAATTGTTTGGGAGATATCTTGGAGAATTTGGTGTACTGTTTATTGATTTATATCATATACTGTTTTATTGTCACCTGTAATGGCGTCGTTGACCGCACCCTGGAGAGCCATTAAGTGCGTTTTGTGTTTACAGCGTCATTCAGACTTCTGGGTAAAACACCCGTTTGGTAGCTCTACTACAGCTACTGGCACTTTCCATAAACAAAGAGTTCAATTTATGTCCAATTGCCTTTTTAAAAGCAATAAAAAATATTTCTGTGAAAAGTGAAGGGACTTATGTACTTTGACTTTAAATATATATTTTTAATCAACATTTAAAAGATCATAAATTGACATGAAATGTCTGTGTCCTCCTTTAATATGGGGATTTTGGGCTGTCCCGCCTCACTGACACTGAACTTCTCTGAAATATATTCATGAAAGTATTCCAGTAACACCATAATTACAGTGTTATTTGGTTCATTTCCAAGCAACTTAATGTTAAAAGAATTCTTTATTTTTCCCTATTAATTTATTTACTTATTATTGTTAGAAAAAAAGAATATATATTTATATATTATTTCATTTATGTAAACTAGAAGGTTATTGGTAGTTAGCATGCAACATGTGCATCCTGTGAAGTTCAGCACTTCTGAATGCTAGCTTATTTTAGGCTGAATTAACAATACTGTTATCCTTTTTTTAACCTTGTTATTTTTAAATAAACTTTCCTTTCTGCTCTATGTTGTATCATTTTTTTAATTGGGAATATGATTTCTGTGTTCGACTCTGCTACTCGCTTTAACCCTGCTAGCGAGGTTTCAACCTTATTATTAAGTAATTTTGGTGGAAATAGTCTTAAAACATTTAATTTAGTGAGCTGTGTTACCAGAAGTGTCAACTTGTTATTGAGAGAAATTAGTTAAAATTACTAATACAAGAAAAATTGCAATGTTTTTGTTTAGAGAGAAAAACCTTTTTTGGTTTTGAAGTTACAATAAAGAAAACCTTAGATATTTATTCATAAATTCAAAGTTCAAAAAGCATTTTATAAATATGTGTTTCTTGCAAGAAAATAATAAATTCAGTTGACATAGGCTTTTCTATCTGTATCTATTTTGACAGCCAGCGGTGAGAAAATAACATTTTCTGAAGTTAAGCACTTACTTTAATACTTCTTCAAAAACATCAAAAAAAGTAAATTTTTCAAAATTTTTAAGAGTTTCAAGGCCTAGAAAATGAGCTCATTTCATGGAAAGTGCCAACAACAGTCCATTCACTTTCCATTAAATCTACAATTCCAGCCTTTCAGTCAGTTTCCCTGTCTATATGGAGCTCTATTTGCGGCCGTTTATTTTACAGTATGATATTACTGCAGTTTATCTGTTTTGTCAGTGTTTTAATGCCCCTTGAAATCTGAGTTAAGCCTGAAATGTTCTAATGTTCTTAAAATAACTGTCGTTATTGAGATTAGAGTAGAGGTAGCACAGAGTACTGTCCTTCAGCAAGCAGGTGTATTATGTTGTTTTTAAGGTGTATTGTTATACTAACATTTTATGCTGATTGTGCGGTAAAATATGGTACTTAAAACACCTGTGCAGCTGAATAATTGGCTACATTTTATGTAAGACCAGTGTTCACAGGATTGCGTAAACATTTGTCATGGCTGATTCCAACTTTTGTTGGCTGTTATAAGGGCTACTATTTGCTTTAGTTTTGTCGATTCAGTTAAATTTTTGTGGCTGTAAAGTTATGCAACAACACTTTCCAGGTTGAGAAGGAAAGTGGCCAAGTATTTGGACACCCCTCTTAATTATTGAGTGTAGGTGTTTTAGCCACACCCATTGGTCTAGGTGTTTTAGCCACATCCATTTATAACAGGTGTATATAATCAAGCACATAGCCTTGCAATTTCCATAGACAAACATTGGCAGTAAAATGAGTCCTACTGAAGAGCTCAATGATGTTGTGTCTACTGTAATTGGATCTATATAATAAACTACTGTATGACAGTAAAAAGATCCTACTAGATCCACTTAAGAAAAGGTCTTAAAAGCTATGCACAGCTGTTTTGTTGACAATACCGTTACTGATCATCAGAAGGTACAACTATTGGCTCTGGCAATGACAGATGCCAGTTGTTTCTTTGTCCAAGCATTTTTAAAGGAGTATAACCTGTCTGGTGCCGGAGGTCCATGGGGTAAAGTGTCTTCCAACAAAGCACATCACCTTCACTTTAGCCATGTACAAATGTGAATGGCTCTTATTGTACAAGCTGGTGAGGGACTGGAGAGGTCACACACACACTCCAGATTTGCTTAGGGACACTCTTACAACTGACATGTCACCAGGGCCATGTTGCTGCTAATTAATTGGACTGAAGCTAGTGATGTTACTTTTCATTTTGTGCTTAGAGAAGAGGATTATAAGGTGGTAAGGCACAGCTTTGAGGCACGTTATTAAAATGAGCGTATGTTTAAATTAATAAAAAAAAAAACACAGCATGTTTTACTCTAAAAGATAGTTGTTTTAGGCCAAAAGATGCAACAGAGGTGTTGAATAAGCCTCTGTGTACATAGTGTTAAATCCCCAAATACTGCGACTGAGCAAAACAAGAGAGTTTTAAACAATGTGAACCCCTTTGCTTAGACAAGTATGATATCTGAAACAAACCAATTCACTCTGGAAACTCAGGGCAAGCCCTGGGTTGGTGGGTGCACTAGCTTTCAGCTATTACATATTGGGGCTTAAAATGTAGAAGGAAAGTCTATGAATATGAATCAGGCAAAGCTGCTTCAGCTTCAGGTCTTCTGTGCAAACGTAGCAGGTTTTCCTCAACTTCACGATTAGGCCTGTATACAGTCAGTGCACACTGTTCAAATACACTGTTGTTCAAAAGTCACTGTTTAAATAATATAAAACAAACTTTGTTGCAGTTACATATGTTACATTATTCTAATATGATGGTAATATTCTATATGTTTTGATAACTTTGCTGTAAAAATTAAGAAACTTTCAATGATGAACAGAGCTGTAAATGATTCTATAATAACTAAGCTGTGCCGTATCTAGAATGATCTTATAATCAAATGAATATCCAGAATGCCTCATATTTGAAAAGCTATGACTGATCAAAAAAAATATTCATAGTCATTTTGTGACAAGAGGCTGCTATAAATATAAGTCTGAAAGATTAATCGATTTTATATTGAAATCTCAGTTTGAAAGAGTACATTTTTGCAATTTTTATCGTAGCATATATTATCAGCAGTGTTGACTTCATAATGTATAAGTGGGGACATTTAACCTAATAACACAGAACTCGTGAACCGCCTGTAGTTCCAAGCACAATCTGCCACACCTGCTCCAGTTAGTTAACTACAAAAGCTTCAGAAGTCCTTGATTGGCTGGATCAAATTCCTTGAGTCTTAGGTAAAGAGGAGGGTGCATTTTATATGCAGTAACTAAATACAGAAATAAATAAACAGGAATTAACTAGATGTTGAAACTAAAGTAGATTTCCAGGCAGAAAGTTTGTGATCACTGAGTCAGACCAGCAGAAGCAAACAAGCACCCTTTTGCTGTGAACATGACATTACAGCCACAACTAACTGGTAGTCTGGCACACTGTGTTCAACATTCAAAGCAGATAAAGTGGATATGCTGATCTTCATGGCCAGAAAACAGGGTTGGGCCTTAAATCATTTTCATGAATTATGAACTGTCATCTGTAGTTTTTATAATGAAAGAAGAATGAGTTGGTGTTTTTCTGTTGAGAGATTTTTTAAATAACTTTTTCTGCCCTTCAGTTCAATTTAAGTTGAGTGGGACTAAATTTGGCACAGGTGACATCAGATCTGCCAAAGCACCAATCGGCATTAGCAATAACGTTCCTCTCCCGCATATAAAACTGCAACTCTGAGCATGTAGATTATTTAAGCTTTCATAAACTTGTTAACTATGCTTGTTATGTAGGTTTATTACACCATTGTTTGTATTGAAGCTAGACACTGCTTCCTATTTTCATCAGCCACCTATTGCAGGATCTTACTGTAAGCAATTAAGTGAATTTAGGAGAGTGAGATATATCACGATCCACCTCAACAGTAGTTGTACCTAATAGGCGTGGCACACAAAAAGGCACACAAGAAATTTCTTCACAGAGTCCACAAGTATGCCTGTGCCAACTCATAACAGGAGCTTATGTGACCTCAGTTTCAGGAGCACGGTTCAGCATTTAGCTAGTTAGCTACAGGCTACGAATATAACATTATTGCTGCTAAATTTATCATTTAATAACGTACAATTTTCTGACCATGTTAGAACATCTTTATATTAAACTACTTTAAATTGTGAATAAGCCATCAGTTAATGTTTTGGTGTCTAATTTGTACAATTTCAGCCTACACTGTATAAGTTATTGGATAACAAGTGTTAATATGACGGTGTAGACATAAGCTGTTGATGCACACTGGTTCTGAAGCAGTTGGTCCAAATTAGGGCATATTCATGTGAGTTTGACTGTAAGTAAATATGTACTTTGTACCTTCTACTTGAAAGGTGAATGGATGGCCTCCTTTGAAAGTAATCAAATTAAAAGCAGAGGAGCATTAATGTTAGCATTGATCATTTACAACATTTAACCTGTGATCTATTGTCTTCATCAAACTGTTGCCTCCAAAGTTAACAGCGTGACTGTGGATGAGGCAGAAATAAGCAGTTTGAATGCTGTAGAAAGGCCTCATTCAGAGTCAAGGGCCAGAAATGGTGCATCAACAAAAAGTCAACAAATTGAACAGTTTGAAAAGAAAAGCTGCTGGGCTGCTCAGATAATCAGACTCAGCCAGTCTAAGGAGAGCAACCTTGACCAAGCTTGAAAGGAAAATTCCT